GTGCAGTTTTTCTAAAAGAGGATGCTTTGGTAATTGAGTCTCAGGAAAAGTGTCAGCTCCCTTCAAAATAATGTTTTGTTATTAGAAATAAGGCATTTAAAATAAGGTTTGGTGAAAATGTATTTTGGCAAATAAATGCTCTTGTTTTTGGGGAACATTTTACAAATGCACTGGTTTTCTATTTCTTGGTTCCTAGCTACTTATTATCTGAATATAAGAGTTTACATTTGGCAGTGTTACCTTTTGAAATGTTGAATGAAGCTGCCATAACTAAAAGGTTAGGATTTCTTTTTAGGATAAATGAATGGTCTTGGTGAATATGGCAAAGAAAAAGCTGAACTGCATTTCAAGAAAAAAAAAATGATCATTAATGTACATTTTTTCACAACACACACAAAGTGAATGTTACTGTATCTGATGAAAGTAAGCCATAAAGCAAACTCTCCCTGACTCCCATCCAAAATCCCGAGATGGTATATAAAAGTGTTTGTGTAGCCTTTCTGAAGCATGCTTTTAAATTCTGCGACTACTGATCCGAATCGTGACAGCTGGCTGGCCTTCCCTTTTCTAACAAGTTCCATTTGCTTAGTTTTATGCCCTGTGTTTCTTTCATTTACTTTTGTTGATTTAAAGGAAAAAAAAGAAATTCAAAAGCAGTATTTGGCTGAGTTCTATTTGTTTTAATGTGAAATGCCTAAGCCTAATTTTCTAAGGATTGCCTAGGCAATAAGGAAAAAAAAGGGGCCTGCTGTCGAGTTTGATGTGAACTCCTGCATTTGCTAGTCCAGCTTCAAAACCTTGTTCACTGGTACAGAGCACATTTCCTGAATTAGATAGATTAGGTTCACTAATGTATATGATATACATTTCACCATTTTTTTAAGCATTACCTTTCTTTCTGTTGGTGACCCATTTTAAGAAAAGAGCCACTAACATCTAAAGGCTAAAGAACACAGAAAGATTTTACTTAATTTGCTGCAACAGTGATTTTAAAGGCTAATAAGATATAAATTAGTGGGTACAAAGACATATAGCACTGCATGTTTGCTAAAGCTGGAAACAATAGTGTACAAGCCCAAATTTCCCTGTACAGTCTGTGAGAAAATTGCTTATTCAATTCATTTACAGTGGAGTGGGCAAAATGCCGATGGTTAACCCTGAGGGAAAGTAAGAACCAATAACTTTAGTGTAATTTTATTTTGATTCATAAAGAACACCCAATTATTTTCGCAGAACAAAGCAGGACTTGATGACAGAGGAACTTGAACTTCAGAAGGGCAGCATTTGTTTCTGCATGTATTTCAGGAAATCATTGTGGAGAAACAATAAACTGTGTTCACTTAGAGGAATACTGTTTATTAGTAGTGGAATAATGTAGAATCTATAAGCAGTATGTCATCTGCTGCATTACTGAGAGTGTCTAAATTTCTTTTAAAAATGGAAATTTGTTTAATCAAGTGTCTGCGTCTCACCAGAATAAGACAACAGGTGGCACAGTTTGAATTCCATTGTGCTCTAGTCTGAACGGAGACAGAATTCAGGCTGAGCAAAAAAAGCTGGAAGGGGAGAAACAATAAAACTCAGAGCATAACTCTACATAACAGAGTTTGATTTAAGTGGTGCCCATTTTTTATGGTGAGCACTGATGTCCCTTCTCCAGCTTTACAATGTAGGCATCAGGTAGATACAGTAGGTGGATTAAAACATTTGTGATGCTCACTACGATGCCAGTGGAGCTCATCAAAGCTAGACCACCAACTGAAAGCTTGGAAAAGATCAGAGAAAATTATTTAATCTTATGTGTTTTACTTTTTTTGCACAACAGGGGATGCCAACACTGTCATTCACAATCACAGCATTTTTTCTGGGGGGGAGAAGCATCAATTAAAATGGCAAACTTTAAAAAGAAAAGCTAAATAATTTCAAACTAAATTATGCAAATTTCTAAATACAGGATATAAAGATGGTTTTGATTTTATCATTAAAAAGTAAATGCTTTTAAAGTGTTTTTTTTCCTGTGATGTCAATATCCCACAATTTCTGCTTAAGGTGCTGCTTAAACCAGTTAACAGTGGACTAACCAGTTAAAAAAGGAAAGGTCTTGAAAGTATTTCAATTGCCAGAATATACAGTATACAGAAGAGCCCAAATATATAGTATCACCAAACATCAATTCCTGCATTCTAAAACTAACCTTAGGTACTAAAAAAACAACAAAAATACAATAACACAACACGGTAACTGTGTACCATTTATGGATGTATGTCACCTGTACTTTGTAAACTTACCTTTTAGTTTGTTCTTTATTCTTATCAGGATGACCGAAGTCTGTGATGCAATTACACTATATACTGTACAGGGGTCTTAGAATTGTAAAAGTCTTCATAGAAATGTGGAGTTTCATCTGGTGACTTAAAGGTGGCCATAACATAACAATTTATTTTCAGTTTAATATATTATAAGTTACCAAATTTGGTGTGACACTAGAGAAGTCTAACTTGAAAATGGAACCTTCATAGTCACCCTTGTAAAAATGTGTATTTGAGATTCATTTGTATGAATGCTGTAACAACTTTTTAGCCTTACAAAAACCACAAATGATAGATTTTCTATCTTCTTAATAAAATAAATGCCAACTGGCATTGCTTGCTATGAAAAAATTGTGTACAGCATAGAATTTTAAGTCTTACCTCCAGGCTAAACTCATACTTACTAACAAAATGGAAGTGTATTTTTTAATGTATATTTAACCACAAATACTCCAGTGATTACTAATGTGTTTCTGAAATATATATTCACATATGTTTTATAAAGCACAGTGTTGCAAGAAAACATTTTTCCTCCTTTCTCTTTTTAGCATTTATCCTGTGTGTGCACCTTATAGTCTCTCGGGACTTTGTTTTGTTAGTTTCACATCTCCTAAACTGTAGAGTCACCATTTATCATTCATAGATTCTGTCAACTACCATACATAGGCTGGCTTTTATTTCTCCATGCTGTCTCTAATTGTCATCAGTGTAAAGTCTCTAGATGTCACTCTCTGTTTGGATGAAAGATTCCCATGGCCACACAGCATGTAAAATGTACACTGAAAGAGCAAATAATTTCTTTCTAAAAGATGTGCAACTTTTTCTATACCCCATGCTTCATCAAACACAACAGCAAATGTATATGCTATATGTAGTTCTGTGTGTATGTACATATTAAGATTTTTTGGGGAGACTGGCTATTCTATAAAATAAATTTATAAATTTACTATAGTAACATATTGGTAAATGTACAAATTAGTTAGAACTAGTTTACCAATTTATTAGACAATCTGTGAAATAATCAAGAAATTAGAGATTTTTAACCCTACAGTAGATTAATAAGAGATATATATTTAGATTTATAAATGTGCAGACACACAGCTGCACAGTTGTTTGAGATTAAACTGGGACATAATGTGATCTTGGTGAAATGTTTTTAAAAATGTTCTTAAATCTTTCCAAACACTGAAATTTCAGTTCTAGTGCAAAATATTAAAGTCAGCTTACTAAAGTTAATATTGTCCCATAATTTCAGTGCTTCTGCTTATATGTTTAGCCTTCTTTTAGCCTGGTTTTAGCTACTGTGACAGTTGAGATTCCCATAGTAACAACACTATGTCCAGTTTCTTCTTGCAAGCCTTTGAATAACTTCATAAAGATTGCTGCAAAGTATAAAAATATTGGGTCAAGGGTTTTATGCAGCAAAGTTATAAGCTGACTGCAAAACCTAAATTTGGTCCAGGCCAAGATTACTCCTTCAGAATCCCAAGCCATTCTCAACTTTCAGGAGCATAGCGGTGCAAAATTGAAGCTTTCTTAGTGGATAAAAATAAGATCTATGAGATGTTGGCCAAGAAAAGTTTTACTTGGACTTACCAATTGTTTCTACAACTAGAGTGTTACTATTCTTTGAAGACAAAAATTGTTTCCCACCATAATTTCTGAGAACCAGAGAATTAAACTTGAAAATGCAAAGACTCTTGTTGATTCTGAACTTGATCTGAAACTTGAAGACTTTCATATCTTAAGATCTTGGGGACCATCAGAAAATAGATATGATAGATAAATATGTATGTAAGATATGTGTGTTTGACTGTACATTTCCTTAGTGTCAAGACCACTATTCATTCCTGTAAATAAACCATGCACTTATTAATATTTCATTCAGTGGAAGATTTATGTCTTCCAAACATCATTAATATGAAGTTTGTAAATACAGATTTTCCTCCTAGCTAATTTCCACAATGCATGATAGCTTTCACTTTTGTGGCTGCTTCAAAAAGTTTTAAAATAACCAGTGATCACCCTTTTTTATTTCAGACACAGCTACTCCAAAAGATACTTGTTGGCACAAATGACCACTGAGGCAAATTGAAACCAGCTCATTTTCCATTTAAAACACAAACAAGAAATGTGGGTGCTAAGCTTGGTTATCAACACCGCAATTAGTCACTGCCGTTAATTCAGCATTAACAGCTTCTTCTTTTTTTCTTTCTGTCACAAGAAGTAAACAGAACAGGGCTGTCTGTATTTACAGAGGGAGGCACAGCAAGAGTTCACATCTTTGCAAGCTGTTTTTGTTAAACAATCTCACAGCAAATAGATCATCGTCTTAGAGAAGGTGGAATTTCAGGGACTTGCTAATAGCGAGGCCCCAGTGGTCTGTATTTTGTTTGCTTTTGACATTATTAAACTCAGCCTGTTTCTCTAGCTGTGAGCTTAATGACTGCATTTGCATGGCTGATTAAAAGTAGGAAAGAGAGGAAAAGGAAAGAAAAAGAGAAATAGAGAAAATAGTGAGGGGAAGTTTGCTCTGTGGATGAAGCACTATTTAACAGTCTTTGCATTTTGTTCTCCAAGCCCTAATGTTTCATGAGCAGACAGCCAAGCACCTTCAATTGACTGGAGTAATTATGCAGAATCAATACGTTTTTGTGTTTGTCTTTGTTGTTTCTTTGATATGGCCTCCAGGATGCTGCAGGCAAGGTGCTGGACCGCTGGGCCATCATGTCCCGGGAAGAAGAGATCATTACCCTCCAGCAATTCCTGCGGTTCGGGGAAACCAAATCCATAGTGGAGCTGATGGCCATTCAGGAGAAAGAGGGCCAGGCAGTGACAGTGCCAACGTCGAAGACCGAATCTGACATCAGGACTTTTATTGAGAGTAACAACCGCACCCGTAGCCCCAGCCTTCTATCACACTTAGAGAACAGTAACCCATCCAGTATCCATCACTTTGAGAACATCCCCAATAGCCTCGCCTTCTTGCTCCCTTTCCAGTACATCAACCCTGTGTCAGCTCCCTTATTAGGGCTGCCTCCTAATGGGCTCATGTTGGAGCAGCCAGGGCTCAGGTTGCGGGAACCCAACCTGCCGGCCCAAACTGATCCCAATGAAAGCAGCGAGTCGGAGGTGTCGCTTTCACCCTTCCGCAATGGGCAGAGCCCTAGCCGGGGGGCTCTGAGCAGCATCACAAATGTGGTTGAACCCAAGTCAGAGCCGAACAGCATGTCCCCCATCTCCCCGCCACCAACCTCCCAACAGCAGCAGCAACAGCAAACGCAGCAGCAGCAACAGCATCAGACGCAGCAGCAACAGCAGCAGTCGGCCACATTGAATGACCACCATCCCCACCATCATCCCCATTATGTGAAGACGGAGCAGTCCAAGAGCATCACCTCCTCCTCCTTCTCATCCAAGATGCACCGCATGCGGCGCATGGGCTCCACCTCCCGTAAGGGCCGGGTATGCTGCAATGCCTGCGGGAAGACCTTCTATGACAAGGGCACGCTCAAGATCCACTACAACGCTGTGCACCTGAAGATCAAGCATCGTTGCACCATTGAGGGCTGCAACATGGTCTTCAGCTCCCTGCGCAGCCGCAACCGCCACAGTGCCAACCCCAATCCACGGCTGCACATGCCTATGCTGAGGAATAACCGTGACAAGGACCTTATCCGCTCCAGCTCTGGCTCTGCCACACCTGTCATCTCCAGTGCTAAGAGTGGGTTAACCCTCACCAGCCCTGGGCGGCCACCTTTAGGTTTTGCCACGCCTCCACTGGACCCTGTATTGCAGTCTCCTCTCCAGAGTCCTCTTGTCTTCCCTTCTCTGAAGACTGTGCAACCAGTGCCACCATTCTACCGCAGCTTGTTGTCCCCAGGAGATCTGGTCAGTCCACCTGTCTCTCTGCCCACAAGCCCTATCATACCCACTACAACCAACACTACCACCTTGATGGAACAACAGCAGCAAGTGTCAGTTCCTAACACTCACACTCCCCACATTTCTGAGTCATCACCCATAGTTCACGGTCTGCCTATCCATAGCACCCAGGACCCCACTACTGACCCCACTCCTAAGAAGAAACCCCGGAAGTCGAGTATGCCGGTAAAGATTGAGAAAGAGGTCATTGACGTAGCAGAAGAGTTTGATGAGAAGGAAGAAGAGGAGGAAGGGGGCCGGCCTCTAGATGGTACAGTAAACAACCAAGGATGTCATCACCACCAAAACCAGCCCCACCACCATTCCAACAGTAACGGAAACAGTAACAACAATCACTGCAGTGGCGGAAGTGGCAGCAGTTGCCACCACTCTCCTTCCCAGGATGAGATGAGTCCAGGCCTGGCCCTGAAGAGTATGCTTCGACAGGAGCAGGAGGAGTGCAGGGGGCCGCCAGGAGGCACTGAGTTACGCTGCATGGACAGCTTCACCTCTGAGGACCAAGACCACGAGAGGGACTTTGAAAATGAGTCCGAGACCTCTGAGACCAAGATGTGCTGCGGGGATGAATCCGTGGATGCTGAAGAGCCAGGCAGACGTCTGCGGAACAGTTTTGAGAAAGAGCGGGATGAGGACGAAGAGGAACATCACTTGCGGGAGAAACTGGAGAACAAGCATCACACTTCACACTCCCCTCACCAGCCAGTTATCAAGATAAAAGAGGAGCTGACTGACCCCACGTACGACATGTTCTGCATGAGTCAGTACGGCCTCTATAACGGGGGAGGGGGAGTGGCTGCGGCAGCAGCGGCGGCAGCGGCTGCTGCCAGTATGGCCGCCTTGCACGAGAGCTTTGTCTCCTCCATGGGCTACGGCGCCAGCCCCCCTAAGTTCTCTTCACCTTCCTTGGACGGCGACCTGTGTTCCAGCCCTGACCCCAAAATTTGCTACGTGTGCAAGAAAAGCTTCAAGAGCTCCTACAGTGTCAAGCTGCATTACAAGAACGTGCACCTTAAGGAGATGCACGTGTGCACAGTGGCTGGCTGTAACGCTGCCTTCCCCTCTCGGAGGAGCCGAGACAGGTGAGTTGCCTCCCCAGACAACATCAGATATATATTCGCAGAACATCATATAATGTGGTTTATTTGCATAATGTCCTTCCCTCTCATGTGTTCTTATTTCCTCACTATTTTGTTATTTGGTGATGCCATCATTTCACGACCCACTTCCAGAACAGTCTTTTTACTTTCTATTATGTCCTTTTTTTATACTGTTTTCTTACTTAAGAATATTAAACAGAACATAACCTTGAAAAAAACGTTTTTTCTTAATTTCGCTTAAGCATGATTTGCATAAGAAACATTAGCTACACTTTAGATATTTTATTTTGAAGAAGCATATCTTGAAGAGTGAGGATTGAGAAGCAAATAACCAAACATGTCTGAGCAACTAGTAGTGACAAAGATAACAGCATTAAATATTAAATAATATTGTGAAATATGGTTTATCAATCGAATAATAGATAATTAATAATAGAGAGCCAGTGAGAGTGTTCTATGTTGTACAGTGATTCTATCCTATCCCCCTTTTAACCTGTCTAGGCTTTTCTACCAACATAGATTGCAAATATGTTATTTCTAAAAATAAGTATTTCTACAATATTTATATACCCCCAAACTATCATTGCTTTCCCGAAATTTCAAGTACACTATTTCTAATTATGTGTTACTGTCTCAGAAGCAGATATTTTAAGATAAACTTTCGGTTTCTTAAAGCACAAGGACACTACATCAGCATTAATGCTCATGAAAAAAAGAAAACAAATTTGTAGTCCATTAATTAAAATGTTAAAATATACAACCATGAAAATTTCAGTGACTACATTCAGCTATATCTCAGAATGAACGTATGCTAACAATTAAAACATGAGAAATAGGACATTAAAATACCCCTTAGCTTTTTGTTTGAACAATTTACACTTCAAAGACAGGTTGCAAGCAATGTATTAAGCTGCCATGTGTATCGATTTTCTACGATAACAGGGAGATAATATGACGTTTTTGTATATTTGGCTACCTGCAGTACACAGGTGTGCCTGAATACATTAGCAGGGCAAAGGCCTGTTGCACCGCTGCATTTATTAACAGCTGAGGTGAAGGTGCTGAAATGTGATACCTGTACCTTATTAACACATCTGCACCCAGAATACCTAGCTTTAGCACTGTCTGCCATCACACATGGTGTACCTTTGCAGGAAGATTGTACCCAAAGGGAAGGAAGCCCAGACAACTCTGAACATGGATCTGCTTAAGAACTCAAAGAAAAGAACAACCAAAAATAACAATAATTTCTGACTGTTATTTTAATTTTTATTAGGTTCGCTTTGCCACTTTTATCCATGTTGATCTGCAAGGGTTGCACATACCAAAAAGAAATGTAGCATTGAAAGATACCACTGTAAACTGCAGAGGCGTACTGTTTAGGTTTGTAAGGGCAAAGGGGTGAATTCCTGGTGCAGGCCAATGTAGACATGAAATAAATACAGTGTAAAAGGAAAGTCCAGTAAGTAATACAGTAAAATCTATTAACAACAACTTCTCTGGAAGAGTATGAAGCCTTACTAAGGGTTTTTTGCAATATGTTGCAATAGTCTTCTCTAGTTCTTTGAAAACATAAATGCTTAGCTGAGAGACATTAAAGAAACTGCGGGAGGAAAGTACAAATTGTGCTGAAGCTAAGAAGGTGAATATGTTCTCAAACAATATGAATATATACAGTATTAAAAAGGCCCCTTCTGTGGTGTATCTTGCCTTTTGCCCATTGCTTGCAGGACAGGCTTTGGCTCCTCCACAACTCAGAATTGGATGAAGCAGTTATAAAAAGGATTGATGGATATACATGTACGTAAAATTAGCTTGTACTGTAAATTGCAGTTAGTCCATCCATCTATCCATTTACTAAACCACTTTATCCAATACAGGGTCATGGGGGAAACCACAGCCTAACCTGGCAGCCCAGATTAAAATCATTTCATAAAAATCTTGACAATTTAAGCATTTTCAGTGGGTATTTTCAGTGAAGTACAAGCTTCAAGTTTTTGATGTAACTGAACTACAGGATACAGTTAAGCTTGTTTTTGTTATTTTTCACTTCACTCCATCTTACTGCCCAGAGTCACAAAAGCATGGTCTGATAAAATCTTATTAATGACACTATGGCCCTTATATTTCAGTGAACATGAAACATGGAATTCATCTGTTAAAATTCAGAAATCCTATAGATAAACAAAACATCCACAAAATAGCTTGATTTAAAAGGTTTGGGGGGCCTAAATAATCAGTTGTTCAAATTGTGTTTAAATTCAGAGACTTGCTAAATGTTTAAATTTACATCAACCATACAAAACAGGAATTTCAATGCAAAACAGATAAATGGCATGAATATATAAATACATTTATTTTTGTTCTTCCTAATTTAATATTCATGAGACATAATTTAGATTACTGTATACTCTTCTTAACAGTAAGAGAGAAGTAAAAGGCAAAATTTAAGAAGTTTTTGGCACAGAAGCCTTCATCTGTTTTTTTTTTTTTGTAGCAGTAAAAGAGATAGAAATCGACGTGCGCCCATAGTGACAAATGACAGTTGTACTTAAACATACAGGAACAAAAGGTTATCTGTTACTTAACATTTCCATAAATGCTTCCCTGTGGTTCCTGTTTTATTTTCCCTTTTTATTTTTCCCTCAACCCTTATTCAATTCCTTTTGTATACCGACATCTGCTCCCTCCTATATTTGTTCATTAACACAATAAAAATAGTGCCAGTGACTTAAGAATAGTTTTGACAGGGACAAGGAGGCTTACAATTGCTGTTAATAGCCTGTTTTTGTACTTTTCTGAGAAGGTGCAAGCTTCTTCATCACCTGCACCAGCTGTGTGAACAGCAGGGGTGACAAAACAATATTTTTTGAACCTGTGCTGGATGAGGTACCTTTGACAAGACATTAGGGACACAGTGTGCCTCAGGCTCAAGAGTCCTGCTGCCTGGCATGCACACACACAGATGTGTTGGCATTCCCATACTTGCTACACCACTGTGTATTAGCATGATTTCTTTAATAATCTGTATTATCAAGAGTCACATAGGTGTGAAAATGACAGTTGTTGCCAAGAATATAAACAACTAGTTTCAAATTAGTAACAACAAATATCCACCTTTGTGAAAACCATAAAGAAAATGCAAAAAACTAGAAAGAAAATACAAAAGTTATTTTACATAGGTCACTCTCAATATGAAACAGAAAACATTTTAGAAACACATTGTTCTTTATTACAGTTTCTTAGTAAAGCAGGCATGTTCTGTAAGTGTCATCCATGAATCTGTCTTTAAAACACATGCTCCATATCAGCTTTCTGATTGATAAATACAGTTGAAAAAATATTGGTAAATATCTTTATGTAAATGTAAGCCCTCATTACTGATTTACTATTTACTATATTTACTCCGTCCCTTTCTGACTGCACCTCACATGTTGTAATCTAAAGAAAGGGTTAAGGGAATGAAACAACTGCAGCTGGATGTATTTGGATATGATGTCTTGTTGACTGTTGCCTGCTTACAGAGCTAATGCCAACAGTTCCCTGTAATGAAGTCTGGAGAGCTCGTCGAATCTGTTTTCTTTTTCTCCCCCCCCCCTACAAATTATATCATTTAGCAGTCAATCTTTTTTATTACAGCAACTCGACATTAGCACTCCCTGCTTATATTAGCATTCATTTCCACGACTCTGTAATGGCATTAAAAAAACAGTTAACTTCATCAGTGAATGAAAATATGACAGTGGCATAAAACTCGATTAGGAACAAGGGAAGAAAAGCTGTGTTGTCACTCCAAAAGGCCTTTTGTCTTTGTCTTTCTGTCTCACTTTGAGACGTTCAGTATGGCTCTAGCTCAGAATGATGACTATCCACTTCATCCTTAACCATAGCATATGGATATGTGGAATGTGAATGTTTTTTCACAGCACACAGAAAAAAGAAAACTTTTTAATTTCTTTCCTTCCTAGCAGTTCTGCAATTTTTTATGTCTTTTAAGCATTCGGTAGTATTCTGCGTTTCACGAGTTTTCATTAATTTACATTCCTAATATTGCCACAAACAGCCACAAATTCAATTGAATACTGCTCTGAGCACAGGTTGATACCAAACATTTGCGTCTGTTTTTATTTCATCATGCAGGTTTAGACTTTGTTACTTTACATACAGTATGTGTACATTTTTCATACCTGAGCTTCCACAATACTGTGCAACATTTAACTGTGTAAAAATGAATATTAAAATCCCTCTCACACATGTAATAAACATACCTTACATATCAGTATCAGTTTTACCTGCAGTAACAGATTGCTACTTTGGGTACAACTAAACCTTTGATGGATACATAACAATATAAATGACTTATTACCGATTAATTGATTTCAAAAGATCCTGGACATGGAATTTAGCCAGGGCAAGTGTTTTGAAGATCAGATTCTTCACTTAATTTCCATTCAGTTTATTTTTATATAGTGCCTTTCACAACAAGGTTGCCCCAAGGCACTTAACAAAGCAATCAATTGTAATATTTGGAGATGGGTGCTTTAGGATACATCATAATTTCTTTTCTTTAACCCAAGTGGAAATTGTATTTCTCCACTATGACTTACCTGGTTATTACATCACTTTTGTACACTCCTTTGTGATTCATCATTCTTTTTTTTTGGTCACACATCACAGTACAATCTATTAAGGGTTAGATTGTGACAGCGAGTCAGTTACACAATATGTAATGTCAACTCATGAAATTCAGAATGAAAACATTAGGCAGTTTAAAGTGCACATCGGGAAGAACAAACCATCCCGTGAACATGTAAAATTCTGGGTAAAAAGTAAATGAATCAGAATTGTGTTAAAACATTGTTCTTCATTTCGGCATTTTTTGCTGTGCATAAATTATTAATGGCATCTGGAAAAAAATGACAGAGCTGCTATATTATGGGGTATTAAAGCAACAGTGTGCCACTGTTCACCACAGAAAGGTG